CGCACCTCTTTGAGATTCACTCGGCGCCACCCATGCCCGTCGAGCGCGCCAGCAGTGTGCAACGAGCGCTATCTATTTCGGTGTATCCATCCAAGTTCCACTGCGACTTGCCCACCCATACAAAACCACGCGACGCCTGGGCCTCTAATGAAGTTGCCACCGGGCCTCAGCCGTTGCCGTCGTTGGGATCTGCACAAGCGCCGTCGTCAGGTACGAAAATGACGTTTGCGCGGGCGGCCAGCCTTGCGCGCAGCCTCCACTCGGTGCGTCCATTCCCATCGGAATCCTCTCGGCGACGGATCCAGCCAATGGCATGCGACGTTGCTGAGACGCTGACACCGACCGTGGCGGCGTTAGCCCCGAGCTCAAGTCAAACGAAGCTCACCCCCGTCACAGTCCTTTCGCGCAACGGCAGCTGGACTAAGATCATGCCAACGGCGGCTTTGCCAGAGCCCCTTGAGACGGGTCCTCATCGAATATCGATGACAAAAGTGCGCCAAGCAACCAAGGGGAGCATGCTAATGACAGACGCAGACGTGGCGGAGCTCCTGGATGCAACGGACGCCGCACCTCGTGTGGTGGCAGAATGTGAAAAAAAAAATCCCGCCAAAGCGCCGACACCCTCACGTCCACCAGCACCAGCACCCGACGCTGTCCCGGAGACGGTACCGTCAGTAGTGGACGGCGTCGCCAAGATCGATGTGCTCTCGGCAGCCGAACAGCGACGCTCCGAGCGCACGCAGTTTATTCAAATCTTGGAGCGCGCCTACGAGCTCCAGACGTCAACGAAAGCGCAGACCAAGCGATTTGGCGCCCGCGACGCCGTCGAGCGCGCCGTGGAGCTCTACCGTTCGCCGCGCGAGTGCGCGATTTCCGATTATATTGAAACGACGCTCGACCCTGCGATCCACGAATTCTTTGAGCCGTATATGACTGCGCGTGCACCACTGTCGGCGTCCGAGGCGTCGTCCTACTGGTGGCGTCGTCTCAAGCTCGCCTAGACAACCTATTTTCCAAGCAATAAAGACGTGGCGGTGCGGGATAAAATATAAGGAAGAAATATTGATGCAATGTTGTCGCCAATGAGGATTGTTGCTCCACGGGTTGGACACGGTAGTTGACGCAACTTTGAGAAAGGCTTCCAACATAGAGCCAATGAACTTGAATACATTTATGTCGATTGATGTCGCTCACACGCCGAACTGTGCCGGTCTCAACCAAAATGAGATCCGGCACGCTCTGGCGTGTGCCTTGCGCATTGTCCATTGGATAGATAGATAGATAGATAGATAGATAGATAGATAGATAGATAGATAGATAGATAGATAGATAGATAGATAGATAGATAGATAGACAGTTGGATAGATGGATGGATGGTTAGATAGATCGGTACAATAGAAGGAGGGATTGAAGAGTTCAAGAATGGACACAAGCGTATTTGCGCCGTCAAGCCTCTTTGGTGCGTTGTATTGGCCTCCAACGACTGTGACGCAGTCCGTATCGACTCGCTAATGGACCACATGCATTCGTCCTCGGTAGACGAGCCCGTCGAAAGACAGTTGAATCATTTCTGCACCAACTCAATTTCAAACTTTCAATTGTTAGGCGACGGGTTGTCATCGCCACGGCCAGCGCCACCTCTGGGACCCCGGGGTATCGTTTTCAAACTGGTGGAGGTACGGGTGCACGAACGCCCGCATCGTTGGGTCGAGTGCGGTGGCCACGTACTCTTGCAGCGCACACTCGGCGGCCACTTGCACGAGCTTGAGCGCATTTGTGACGGCGTCATCCAACTCGGGCCGCTTGCTGGCGATGCAGCTGCGCCGGCGATCGTACCCCGGGGCATTTGTCGTCACCATCTCGAAAGCAAGCTCCAATTTGAGCACGAGCTGTCGTCGAATGGCGTGGCGTCGCTCAATCTCGGGGACAACGTCCAGCGGAATATACACGGGCACTGCCTTGGCCTTGCCTCGGACCGTGTTGACGAGCTGTCGGAAGGTCAGGGCTTTTGCGACGGGCCCCGGGTCACGCTTTGGATTGTGCATCTGCAGGAGCATCGAGAGACGCATTTTCATGGACGAGAGACGCGTCGACGCTGACGGAACGGGCTCGACCTTGCCAATGTTGCGCTTGAAGCGCGCTTTGGCCCGCTTGACCGCCAAAAGCAATCGCGTGCTCTTGGACGGTACACCGGGGTACGACAAGCGTTGCCGCGAAGCAATTTGGTGCAAACTGAGATACGTCGCTTCGAGGAGAACACTAATGTCATACGCAGCGGTCCAGCGCTGGAACGCCGTATAGAGACTCGCTGCCGCGCGCGGTGTCAATAGCAGCGAGAGGTTGTTGTATCCACGAGTGACTGCAAACGCTGCGACACGAGCAGCAATCGTTGCTGCTTGGAGGACACTGCGGCGGCTCGCGTGGCCCAGCGCATGCAGAAGCCCACTGAGCGCCAACGGCCGCGCGACCCACGTCTCGAGGGCAAAGACGCCGTCGAGCGTGAGACAATACAGTGTATGGGTCGCATCCAACACGAGCTTTGGGTCGCCAGTTGCCGAGAGCGTCGTGAGCAGCTGCAGATACCGCGCTCGGTTCAATCGAAGGTACCCAGTGCGGTACCACTGGAGTAAAAAGACGCTGACGGCGTGCATGGCCGCAACGTCATGCACGCTCGAGCTCTGCGCAAGGACGTCAAACGCGAGGTTCGCGATGCGACGGTGCTGGGCCACGGCGTCGGCTGGCGACTCCTTGTGGGATATCCACGATGTATACCCAATCATGATGACGTGGAACCGGCTTGGACGACCGAGCGGGACGATCGCGCGTGGGCCCAACGTACGCCGGGGTCGAAACCGCTGCGATTTGGTGGTCAGTGTCGTCGTGTGTTTGGAGGTCGCGCCGTGCGATGACGCGACCGCTGTCACCGGAAGGAGGTCCATGGTGGGCCCGGCTACGATGGCGCGTCATCAGTCTGCGTGATCCTTGGTTTTGTGTGTCGAGATGCGTACCGGACGTGGTAATCACCGCAGAGATTTTCACGCGCTTTTTGGACTGGTGCGAGTCGCGGCTGCGCCGAGCACTGCGCCGCTCAATGTTGGCGCGGTCCTTGAGCCACAAGTCGAGGCCCACCGGTGCGTCATCGCCGATTGCGAGCACGTCAGCTTTTATAAAGTTCTATGGAGAGCATGACGACGTCGCGTCAGTCATCGACGGCAGTGGATACCTCAATGTGGCTAAACCAAAGCGTTCGGAGCGCGTAGGCGCGGCAGAGCGGCGTTGCCGCCACCGAGGCCGCCAGTCCATCGAGCTGTTCCAAAATCGGTCCGAGATCACGGTCATGGACGTTGTTAGGGTTGAGATGGAGGGCGGCGATGGCGCCGACCAAGCTCACGTCGGGCGACGGATGCCGTAGTAAATCCGGGATCCGCACTCCGGGAATATGAAACAGTAGCGCCCGCCGGTCGTTGACCTTCCACGCACCGACCCACACAATCGGTAGCGGGAAAAGCGCATAGTACAAACTCCTTATCGGCGCGTCCAGAGCCAGTACGATGAGCACGCAAAAAGCCGTGTAGATCGCGCTGGAGAAGGTCAGTACGCGCAAATTGTTGGGAATGCGACCGCTGCCAATGCACTAGCAAAGTGAAAATTTCATCAGGTATCTCCGAACTCGGATTCGATTCGGATGGCAACTCGTACCGGCTGGGTCTTGTGCGAGTAGAGCAAGAGAAACGTCGAGACAGCGAGCAAGAACGTGGTGAGCCCGATGCCGCCGGCCCGCGTCATGTCTTGGTTGTTGACAAACATTGTAATCATCGGGTACACTAGGAAGCCATGTGGTCTCGATAAGCACGCAAAATGGATTTAATCAATCGTACGTGTGCGCGCCATGACCATAAGAAGCTGGAAGCCAGGCTGGAACCGAAAATCCATGGTCTCGCCGAGCGGCTCAATGTGCATTTTGTACAAAAGCGCACTGCGATAGGTGACGAAAAACCCGATAAAGCCGACCGCCTACATGGTATTGACCACACCATTCTCAAAATTTGAGAAACAACGCACCCAAAACAGACCAAACCGATCGAGGCAGTCGCACGTGGCGCCACCAGGCAGCGCCAAGTGCTCGTAGCCCGTCACGCACGTGCCGAGCCGCAGAAAGGTCGAAATGATCGGAATGTAAAACAAGTCGAACGTCATCGGGTACACAAAGCGCATGAGGATCGGTGCGTCTACAACCGACAATATTGTCCATCCAGTCGAACCTAGTTCTTGCGCGTACGGTAGCGGGACGCGGGATGGAGCTGCCGCAGAATGAGCAGGAGCATGCCCATGCCCACGGCCATCGAGAGGTTCCACCACTACAAAGGTTCGTGCATCGCGCTTTTTGACGTAAACGTACTTCGTTGGTAAAGTTGAGCGAAAAAAGAAGGCTGTCGACGATCGGCGGCGTGCCCGAGACCTTGAACGCAATCGAGAGCGGCGTGAACGTGTACGTTGGCCACTCGGAGCACATGGCGCAGAGCTTGACGTAGCGCTGGAGCTGGAGTTGCTGATCGGACCCAAACTTGCGCTGGGACAGCGCAATCGCAATACCTAGTCTATCTCGTTGCACAATATTGTCGATCGTATGGAAGGCAGCACCTTGGGCGACTTGGTCGTGGATCGACGAGGCATTAAGCTGGAGGAACCGGGCAAGAAACCCGTGCCGTTGCAGCAGTCGGACGCCGTAACAGAGCCACACAGTCGCAAAGAGACCGACGGGCACGACGTTGAGCCACGTGTAGCCGCACGACGGCCAGTGCTTCTTACTACACACCCCAACCGTCGCATTCCAAAAGCACACGACTGCGGTCATGCAAGGACCTCGGCGCGCCGCCGAATATATATAATCCTAGAAACGGCAAACCGCAAACAACTCAGAGGCGACTGACGTTGTCGCGGGCAGAAATTTCTGTGCCAACGCCACTTTGAATATCTTCTTCTTCTTCTTTGGTTGGGTGGCGAGTAGTGGCCGTAGGGTGTGCTGGACGCGCCTGCGGTCAATTTTTCAGATATGCAGAAGTCGTCCAGTGTACACTCTACATTGGGCTATAACGGGACCTATGGTGGCGTCCATGATGATCGGAACTCGGGACGTCGGTGCTATACACTGTAGTTCACCGTGCGTTTTAACACAGCGCAGATATTTGCGAGAGAGCCATCAATGTATTGGGTGCTCAACACGGAAGACGCATCCCTTCACGCTGCATCTGCTCATACACCGACGTCGGTGCGATCATTGGCGCCGACTTGGTGGTCCTTGAAGCGTCGGCCAACTAAATCATATCGGACATCATGGCCGCATCTTAATTGTGGATAAAGAAGTTTCGACTCACAAGTGGCTGATCAAAACTAAGCTATCGAAATGACGAGCCAAACTGCTGCCACGCGGTTGAAAAACCGGCTGGACTAACCGTAACCGTGAGTTAGCCGGACCATTCCCTCCAAACAACGTATTGAATCATAAAATGGGCGTCGTCGTAACCTGTCAGATTCGATGGGCGCCGACCATCGAGTTTGAGATGTTTGGTCATTTCCTCGAAAAATGCGGCAACACCGACCGACGACGACGGGCGGCCCGCCGCCGCCGGGCTTCAACTTCAAGTACTACGCGGCTTCCTTGCATAAGCCTCATGGCCTCTACCTCTAGCTTGGACCATGCGATGGCAGGGATGCATCTCGGCCATGGGCGCCCCGCGGTAGGCCACGCCTCGATGCACGCGCACGTGACGATGTCCTCTATGGTCTAGCCGCACCACGAGCCGCCGATGAAGCTCGAGGTGGGCATTGTCGTGCAGCCGACGACGACGCCAAACCAGTCGATCCGCGTCGCCGTGACGCTTCCGGCGCAGCTCGTTGAGAAGGAGCTCTCGCTGGTCATGGGCCTCTTCCGCGCCGGCCACGCCAACCAGAATCGCCCGATTTTCCTTCGCTCGCTGCAGTTTGATTTGCGCAAGCGCCTCCCGCTGGTACCTCCTTTACATCGTGATGATGCGACAATGTCATCTACGCTGCGCAGGTCACGACGCGCCTCCAGGTCAAGGCGCCCAAGACCATTGGCGAGTTTGAGTTTCGCGCGTTCAACGAAGATGCAGGTCCCGACATCATCTTTGCGTCGAGCGGTCCGCTCAAGGTGCTCGTCGATGAAAAGTGCGTCCAAAGACAGCCTCGATCCCTGTACCAATGACCGACCCATGCATGTAGGTACTGGAACGAAGCGCTCGAGACGCTCGGCCATCGCATCGAAGCCGCCGCTGAGGCGCAGGACGTGGGCTTGATCGTCTCGGCTGTCCTTGGGCTGCTGCGTGTAGGCGCTATCTCGGTTCTCTTTGTCTCTGACGGTGCAATTTAGGTGGTCGAAGTGCTGCCGACGGCGTTTCCGAGCCAAGCCAGCCTCTTTGGGATGCACATGGAGCACCTCCTCAGCCTCGTCTTTGAAGTTCAAACGTACCAGTTTCCTCGTTGTAGTTGGTGTTATAACACATTGTAGGTGGGACATGGAGAACGAAGAGTCGCTGGACGGGTGGCACGGCGCGATTCGCACGCTCCTGCATGTGACCGAGACCAACCGTCGACTGCAAACACTGTATGTGGTGGTGCTGATACACTGTATGTAGGCTACGTGTGGGAAAGCCTTGTTCCGTCGGTGCAAAAGCTCGTTGCCATGTACCAGTCGCGCCTCTATTGCGGGGTAATGATTGTTTTGCGGCATTTTCATGAGATTTACCGTTGCTTCAGGTGAGCGACCGGTATTTCGAGACGGTCGACGCCAAGCAAGAGTACTGGCAAGCCCATTTGGGCCTACCCCTTCGCGGTACACTTACCGTTTATGACTCTTGCGGGGTGACATGGCATGGACGTAGACAGCGTCGCGCCGTGGGCACCGGGATTTGAGCACGCACTCTCGACGTACTTGGTACTGCAGTCGACTCAAAGCTGGGTGTTGATAATTTGATACTAGCATGCCAAGAGCGAGGCGCTGATCCCGAACGTGGCCGAGTTTACCGCGGTGCGTCAATCGATTTTCGAGCGCGTGAGCGGCGTTGTGAGCGCGCTGAGCTTTCAAGGCCACCGGGTAAGCTCTTAGTGCACAATCTTGATGAACGAACCATGTTACTAGGTGGGTCTGGATGTGTTTGGGTCGTCCAACAACTTTTTTGGCACAAAAGACAGCGACATGGACATGTGCCTGGTACTTGATACACTGATACCTTGTTGGATGCTAAGTGGGATAATGCAGGTGCTTCCGACCGGCGTTGAGCTTTCGCCGATTCAAAAGCAAGAGATGCTCAAGGCGTTGGTCGAGAAGCTCGACCCGGAGCTCTTCACCGACATTGGTACAGCCCATATTGTGTATATAGTTGATAGGAACATAATGGACTAGATACGGGACGTCTCACGGCGCGCATCCCGATCGTCATGTTCAAGGATGCGACGTCGGGTATCGACTGCGACATTTGCGGTGTGTGTTTGCTAGGTTGCTTGTATAAGCCTTCTTACTGCTGCGCTAGTGGAAAATGCCCTGGCGCTGCGCAACACGCGGCTGCTGCGGACGTATGCCCTTGCCGGTACACATATTGTCTATTTTGTAGAAGACAAAGTTATATACCCTGTCGCTATTAGATCCGCGCGTGCGTATTCTGGCCTACTTTGTCAAGTATTGGGTCAAGACGCGCGAAATGAATAACGCAGCGCAAGGCACGTTGAGCTCGTACGGCTACCTCCTCTTGCTCATCCATTATCTCCAGGTAGCATCGATCTATTACCTTCTATAGTTGCGCTTATCTCGATACTCTAGCGCACGAGTCCGCCCGTGCTACCCGTGCTGCAGACGCTGCCGCCCCAGTGGCAAGGTAGATTCTACCCCGAAAATTCGCTTGTGAATATTGGACACAATGTAGGGGAAATCTGGTGCCGCTGTTATCGCGACGAGACAGAGACCACGACGGACCCGAGCGCGACGTGTCCCTACCGCCCCTGCATGCTCAAGAGCCGCGACCAAGCTGACGGCCCGCGCCTGCCCCACGTGGCCTTTGGCGACGCGGGTACGACAAATGACGAAACCGACAAGTATCGCGACTTCAAATCCCGTAGAAACCTACTTTTTCGACCCGGTCCACGACGAGCACTGGCACGCGCTGCGCTCGTTTGGCGCGTGGAACCGCTCGAGCGTCGGGTCGCTCCTCCTCGGTGCGTCGTTCTTGCTCGCGCGTTGGAATTGAAAGATTGATATTTTTGGGCGTAGGGTTTTTTAAGTACTATGGCGACGTGGGCTTTGACTATGCGCATCACGTGGTCTCGGTGCGCATGGGCCGGTGGGACATGCTCGATTGTTGATCATTATTGAATGAACACGTGACATAGGACGCTGCTCAAGGCCGAGAAGCCGCAGTGGAAGCAGCACCACCGTCTCGCGATTGAAGATCCGTTTGAGCTCGACTATGACGTGGCCCACGTCGTCAAGGGCGCGCGGTACGCTTTATGTTGATTTTTTAGTTTGAATTTGTATGGATTTTCGGATTGTTGACGAATTGGTTTCGAGTAGGTTCAAGTATGTTCGGCAGCAGCTCGCGCGCGCGTACTGGCTGTGCGTGCAGGCCAACATGGATGGCTATGGCATTGACGAGATTATGGACATTCTCTGCGCGCCGATCGAGCACAAGGACAAGGCCGCCGACGACGAAGCGGCGACCGACAAGTAGCTGTACAGAGCCAGAATAAGCGCCAGAGGTCTTCTTCAAACCATAAGAAACGAGTCGTTTGAATCGTGTATTCTGCAATACAGCTCCTCCCGTACACTGACTCATTATCGGCATGGACCGATTCGAACTCGTGTCGTTCCGGGTGATGGAAGACGAGGAGCATCCGGCGTGCTGCAGGTCGGGTTGACCAATATAAGTCGGGTACTTGATACCGTAAAATTGATACCAGACCGAGGTAGGCGCTCTAACTTGGGTTCGGAAGATTCATCGTCCAACGCCGGGCCGATGAATTAGGTGATCGAAGTCTCGCGAACGTCGGTGGATTATTCGGTCGCCTTTCACGTTGATTGAAGGCGCTGGTGGGAGGAGCTATCAGCAGGCCAGAATCGGTCGACAAGGTCCCTGCATGCTGAACCGCAGGCTTGGTTGCGATGATCTGTTGTGTAGTGAGTTCGATCACTTGGAGGGTTAAGTTTGTTGACACCGCGCTCGTATGCGATGCGACGGCTCTGGACGAGATGGTCGTAATCACGCTCCTTCGGATCGGACGCCAAAGATTCGAGCCGTCGTGTCTTCTACACCACAGCAGAACGAGATGCTACGTCAGTGCATCCAGGATCAAGTCTGCGAGGGTTGATGGTTTATGGGGCGCTGGTACAATTTAGCAGATGTTGTACTACGTTGTACCACGGTACGTCCTTGGTGGACGACGATTAAACTATCCAACTACGCTGTAGGATCAAATATGCTGTGGATTGATCCGACAACGTCGAGCGGACTTGACGGCCTCACGTTGAAGGTGAAGATATTGCGAGCAGGGCATGTTCGAGCTAGGACCCTCAACGAGTACCTTTCTTCATTCCTTCCAAGGGGCACGGCCGTTCGCACACGTCCTTTCCGAATGCAAAATGCAAAGAAGAACAAGACGACGCGATCTTAGCGTCTCTCTGGCGACCGAGTCGTCGTAGCTTGGGCCTGCCAGTGTTCGCGATACCCTCAACGTCGTGCTTGTCCGTAGTTATGAACCGCTCCTTACATCATTTGAATCTTAAATCCTTGCACGACCAGGTTTTTTCCCTTTTGCAGCGACGTTCCAAAATTTGCTTCCGTGAATAAGAGGCGTTTTTCTAGTCACAGAATTTAAAATCCGACGCCTACAAACCTGGTGTGCGGGTGGCTCGGGTCCTCGACATAATCAGCCGGTCACCTCGAGATGTGTTGATTTCTGCGCTTGCTTGCGAGAGCGCGACACACGTGAAGCAAGCTGTGCTTCTCCCGTATTCGTACCATACCGGTAACCGGTATTAGAAGGGAGCTGCGACATGCGCTGCTCGATGGGTTCCGGGTCTAATATCACCCATTTTTCTGGAAGATTTCGCGCGTACGACGATATTCCAACCTCGGGGGGCGGAATGGACGCTGGTTCGTCGCACGGTTCGATCCGGCGACCAGCAACCGAATGCGGATTCCGTGATAGAGACAAGCGACCGACCTTCTCTACCGCTCAATCCAACCTGGGTCGCTCGCAAAAACCGACGCACACCTCGATGGGACCAGTACTTGATGGTTGTCTCTCCCGTCAACTTCCCTTTGCGAGCCAGATTCCTTCTTTGTAGCGGCGGTGCTGGGCCAAAGATGCAGCTTTATACTGCCTGATAGGCGTCCGTGGGCTAGCTGTCGTCACAACGTTCCGTGTGTTCGATGGTGGTCGGCGCGCCTTCTCGGGTACCGTAAATACCGCAATACACTGTACACGAGAGCGATGTCGTTGGCGCCGATGATCGGCTCAAAATTTCGCGGCGACCGATCCCAGCAACCATCCGTTGGGTGCTACCGTGCGAAGTGGCGACAGGTCGGACGACCACGACGTCCACGTAACTTTGATAGCAACAACACGCCCTCCACAAGTCTCAAGTGTCAACGCAACCTGGCTCGCCCTTACGCCGTCGTCTGTAGTGTAACTTGCGAGCGGTATGGTTGCATCAACCGGTCTGCACGGCTTGTGGTCAGCAGCCGTTTGAAACCGCCAACCAAATCTTTTGTCGCGCGACAGGCGGTCAGCCGGGCAGGTGGGAATGGCACCGTGCGGCGGCGGCGCGGAGCGTTGGGCTCATTCTCACATTTGCCGCCGACCACACAGATGGCCTATCCACCACCGACGGCGCCACCGACGCCGATGCGCCACCTGCACGACAACGACGACGACGATCGCCACGGTCGTAGCCCGGTTGCGTCCGACCACTACGAGGTCGAGACGCCCCGCGACGACATCCAGAGCATGGTCACGGTGGTCGTTGACGGGTCGCCACCGGCGGCGCCGGCGCCGGCCCACTCGCTCTCGTACCGGCCCGACATTGACGGTCTCCGCGCGCTCGCTGTGATCCCGGTCGTCGTCTTCCACGCGTATCCCACGAGCATTCCGGGCGGCTTTATCGGTGTCGACATCTTCTTTGTCATTTCCGGGTACCTCATCTCGGGCATCCTCTTCAAGGAGACGCGCCAAGGCAAGTTTACGTACGCCAACTTTTACAGCCGGCGTATCCGGCGCATCTTCCCAGGTTTGATCCTCGTGCTCACGTTCACGATCGTCGCCGGGTGCTTCTGGTACCTGGAGGACGCGCTTGTGAGCATGGCCAAGACGCTCACGGCCGGCGCCGTCTTTGGCGCCAACATTCAAGTGCTCTTCCTCAAGCAAACGTACTTTTCATCGAGCGTCAAAGAAGACCCGCTCTTGCACCTCTGGTCGCTCGGTGTCGAAGAGCAATTCTACATCTTTTGGCCGTTCGTGGTCGCGTTGCTGGCCAAGCTCCCGGCCAAGGCCGCGGTCGCCGGCCAAGTCCTCATCTTGGTTGCGAGTTTTGCGCTCAACATCTCGCTGCTCGGCTACGACGGCAACAACAACTGGTCGTTTTACTTTCCTTTTTGCCGCTTCTGGCAAATGGCCATGGGCGGTCTCCTCGCCTACATGAGCTTGGACCCGTCCGTGCCCCGCCTCTCGTCAGTCTCGCCGCTCGGTGCAACCGCAGTCTGCGCCGTCGGCTTTGCCCTCATCATCGTCGGCTTTGTGTGCATTGACGAATCGATGGCCTTTCCTGGGTGGTGGTCGCTCCTCCCGACCGTCGGCGCCGCGCTCTTGATCCTCTCGGGCCCTGACACGCTGCTGCACAAGTGGACGCTCTCGCTGCGCCCGGCGGTCTTTATCGGGCACATTAGCTACGCGCTGTATCTCTGGCACTGGCCGCTGCTTGTGTACGCCAAGGCTCGCTTTCCCAATGACGCGCTGCGCCCGTGGTATCAGTCGCCGTACATGATGATCGTCTACTCGGTCGCTGCGAGTGTGCTTACCTTGTATGGCGTCGAGAACCTGCTGCGACGCCGCAAGCACAAGCTTGTCGTGCCAGGTCTCTCGCTCTGCATGGTCATCCTCTTGGCGCTCGGTCTGTGCATGACGCACTATCCGACGACGTTCTCGGTGCTGTCGCAGCCCAAGCCGATCTCATCGGGTCCGATTCTGACGCCGGTTGCGACGCACACCAACGGGTCGGCGGCAGAAGTGCCCAACATGAGCAAGCCGCCCATGTACGAGTCGCCGACGGTCGCCAAGATTCTCGCAGCCAAGGGCGACTACCAGCCGGACGGGCCAGAGTTTCACACGGTCGATGCCGGGTCGCCGTATATTCCGACATCGGAGAATATGATTTTGAACATGGGCCAGAAGGACAACCTCGTGATCGTCTTTGGCGACTCGCACGGGCATATGCTCAAGCCGCGCTTCTCGTACCTCTACCACCAAGCCGTCACCAAGTCGGCGCCATTTCCCACCATTGTGTTCAAGACGCGGAACGGCACGCCGCCGCTCGCGTGCACCCCGGGGCACGCCGACGTCGTCGACATGATCAAGCAGGTCAAGCCCAAGGCAGTCTTTTACGCGACCGACTGGCCGCAGTGGATTCGCCCGAACGCCGGTGCGGCCGACCACGGTACTTCGCCGCAGTGCTGCACCGCCGGCTACGTCGACGCGTGCACCAACCAGAGCCCCAAGGACGCCAAGCAGCTCATTGCGACCTTCCAGAGCGAGCTCGCTGCTTTCACCGCCCTTGGTATCAAGGTGTTTGTGGCGACGTTGAACCCGGAAGGCCCGGCGTTCAACTTTGCCAACATGCTCAATGGCAACAGCGTCGGTGCGGTGTCGCCCGTGAGCAAGTCGGCGTACAAGGCCGCGCACGCCGACCTCATTGCGATGGTCGAAGGTGCGGTCAAGGCCGTGAACGGCACCATCATCGACTACACCGACAACCAGTGCTGGAAGGACGACTGCAACGTCGTTTCGAACGTCGGCGAGCCGCTCATGCGCGACAACGACCACTTTCGCCCGGCGTACGTGGCGAGCTACCTCTCGGTCGTCGACCAAGTCGCGATCGCCGGTCTTGGCAACACGACTTCGGTCAAGACGATGTAGAGCATTGTCCGTATTTAGTTATGCTGTATGAAAAATGTCATATTCTTTTCGTTTCAAATGGTGCTGTTTGGATTTCCCTAACCCTACTCGATTGAACAACTGTCACCCGTCTCCATGCCCACGAATCTATGCCTTGAAACGCCGACCACATGGATGACGTGGCACGTTGTAGGAAGGCTATTAGCAACATGGACCGGATCTGCTCGTGCAAGAGGCCAACCAGCACACAGCATACAGCGCCGTATTGTAATAACATCCGAGTTTCAATCGAGTGAGAAGGCGCGATAAACTCCGACTTGTTCGTTCATCTCGAAGCAACGGTCCACAAAGAACGCTTCTACGTCGATTGCTGGTCCGTTGACGACCACGTCAATCTCGCTTCTTGGCGACTGCATTGCGCAAATGCGTTCGTCGTCTCGGTCTTCTTGTGCTTTCAACGGACGAAACGGTGCTGCAGGCCAAGACTGCGAGCGATGGGTCGGTCACGTTGACAAGAAAAGGGCCCATGGGAGTGCTGTGTAACTTTATATTTACCGGAAAATAACCACTTGCTCCGAGGCAACTTAACAATGGCTAAACTGAAGTTAGCCTAGCCTAGACTTGGAGGTGGCGTAGCAGAGCTTTGACTTGAACCACATGGCTCGGATTAAAGCATGGAGCTTGCACCTTGGAGGACTGAGGTCGCACTTGGATGGTCATCCATGACAAGTGGCGTGGTCGTGGACTAGAAGCACATGAGAGGAGACATAGTTGCCTTCGTTGCGTACCGAATCGGTAACGCGACCATTGGCGCCGGCCTTCACAAGGTGCTTGACGATGTTCACGTCGCCTCGCAGACTCGCCCAGTCGAGTGGCCCCCGAAAAAACTAAGCTGGAATGTTGCTATATAGACGAATAAGACGAGTCGTACAAGGGAGTCGCAGCCATTGGGATCCGCGCCGTCGCTGAGCAGTGCGATGACGTCATCTACGAGGCCACAACGAACAGCGTCGCAGAGACGCGCCTACGACGAATTTAGTCTTTTGTAGGTGGAGCAACGGTGGCACCGTGGCAGTGATGGCGTACAGTTGGCTGGCTGAGCTTTGGACATATTTGATCAACGTTGGCGTCGTCTCCATCTACATCCAGAGAGTGGCATCAGTGCAAGAAGACTCGGGATGCATACGGTGGGTTGAAAACTGCTTTTCGGTCCGCTGTACAGGAGTTGCTGAGACGGAGCTGGTGGGACGTTGATACATGTATCTGTGGCGTCGAGGTGTTGCGCCAAAATCGCCACAATGTCCGATGCCGTCGGGCGCTCCGCTGGGTCAGCCGCCAAGCAGCGGTCCGCGAGCTCGCGCAGCCATGGCACGCAGTTCGGGCTCATTGTCGGGCGAAGGCTTCCGTCACCCACGCGCCTCGCCATCTCAAAGGAAAAATCACCAGAGTTGGCGTATGGCGCGTTGCCCTTGTCGAGCTCGGTGAGCACAACGCCGAACGAGTAAATGTCGGCAGACGCCGCTTCCTCTTCGTAGTCGCGACGGAGGACTTCGGGTGCCATCGACAGCATCGTACCGACGTTAGCAGTCTTGAGCCCAACGACCGTTCGCGCATAGGTAAACCCGCTGAACTTGACGCCATGCGTGGTGGAGAGAAGTACTTTTCGGCTCTCGACATTGCGGTGAATGATGCTTTGGCGATGGAGGTCTTGGAGTGCGTTGGCGATCACCCACGCCACTTGCACGGTCGTGACTTCCACGGCCACATGCTCGCCCTCTCGCTTCTTGCGAAGGTAATCCAAAACGTTGCCTTGGTCCATGAACTCCGTGATCAGTTGTGGCTTCTTGGAGTCGAGGTCGACGGTGGCGAGCAGCGGTAGTACGTACGGCGACCGAATCCTATCGCATGAATGGTTAGTTTGTAGGATCACGAGCGAGGAAATAGGGCGATCGCACGTCTTTTGGAGTTGGGCATCCTCGCGCAGCGTTCGCGAACTGCGTGGGCTGAAGTGATGAGGCTGCTTGACTGCAACGGGTGCGTCGTTGTAGACGCCTTTTTGCACTTCGTAGAATCTTCCTGAATCAAGGCGATCGAGACCTTCAAAGCGCACGTCCGTTGCCGCAACCTATTCCCCAATGCGACGCCACAAATCGTGTAGAAAACTCGTACCGACGCTACCGACGGGTACATGCGATCGTGAAGCACGCGAGCGAGTTGGTCGTGGCCATGGCGCACGGCCATTGCGAGAAGGTCGAGGCCGTCCTATGTCCATGCATTCATCAACCCAATATCGGTAGGAAGCTGGTACGGGAAAGTGTGCTGTAATGTCGGCGCCTTTGTCCAAGAGGCGACTGACGTCGTCGGTATCGCCACTGGCGACGGCACGTAGCAACAATGCTGTCGTGTATTGCGTCTACAGTTTAACGTCTATATCGTTAGAGTCCTTCCCGTGGAAATATTGTCAAACTTCTATGCGGCTCCTAGGGTACCTCGGTGCTAGTCATTCTGCAGTGCCGCGAGCCGGCCAATTGGAAAATGAAAAAAATCGCCAACGACGGACGAATCCACCGACCAATCACAATCGCTGCCTACTTGATACTTGAATGATTTCATCAAGAATATATCACCTCAACAATCCCGTGCAAAGCATGTACCGAGCCGCGTTCCGCTGCCTCTGGCCAGTGCTCCGCGCCTGCGTCTGGTTCAACGTCTGGCGCGTCCGCAACGATCGCGTCTTTCGCGCCGACCTCCCACTGCCAAGCCCATGGACGATTGCCGTCAAAGCGGCGCGTGTCGCTCAAATGCACTTGCACCACAGCCTCGTTCAAAACCCAGGAGATGGCTCTACGTCGCCTTCTCCGGCTCCTCGCTCAACACGAGTGGCCGTGCCAGCACCTTGTCCCGCGGATCGCGCTCCTGCCTCCGCCGGCCTAGATCAAGATCATCACCAGCGCCTACACAACGAAGAAAGTCCGACAATTTTATTTAGCGTAGATTTACGTATCTATTTTAATAGACGACCCACTTCAACAACAACAATCCCGTGCAAATGTGCACGGATATTCAGATTGGACAAATGCAAAGTGAAACGGTGCACGACGGCAACCATTTTTGCCATCGCACCTCGTCTCAAGTGGGCTGGGGCGGACCGAGGTAGAGACCATTTCTTCTGTAGCGGCGTCGAAACATACCAATTTCCAAATCGTGTGCGCGTCGAGCTACCTTGGCTTTGCGGTCGTTCGACGGTGCTCTGTTGTCGATGAAGATTTAGCTCGTCACGATCGCCAACCATGGATAGGGCTCGTGCAGCTCTGGTAGCTGCTCTGAAGGTCTTTGCGCCATCGCAGAAACCAACGCGTACGCACCGATGCAACGGAAGTAAGTATGAAAAGCTTGACCCTATCTATACTCGAAGACAAGACATTATGGGCAAAATGCAAATGATTATTTCATCCGGCAAAGACAATCGTCCATGGCTACGGCTCCTCGGCAATGGAGAAGAGGTCCTTCGTGGCCATCGTCGTCTTAGCGTGGTCCACACACTTGGGCGCAAGGTCATCGTCGTCATCGTACGCTTCGTCACGCTCATGATCGTAAAGCCGCTTGGCGAGGTATTGGACGATCTGCTTGGCTGTCGGGCGCATCGATGCCTCCTGCGCCCAGCACGCGGTCGCGAGCTTGCGGAGCCAAGGCGGGCAATTTTGGCCCAGATCCGGACGCAGTGTCCCGGCGCGCACGTCAGCAATGACGTTGCCGCCATGGTTCGCATACGGCTCGTGGCCCGTCTCAACTTCGGACAAGATGATACCAAACGAGTAAACGTCGGCGGCCGACGTGTACAGCGTTCGGTCATCGTCCTGGCTTGGGTTGTAGTCGTATGCGCGAAAGACCTCGGGGGCCATCCAGAGTTGCGACCCGACGTTGCCCGTCATGAGCGTCTCGAGGGTCCGTGTCGTGCCAAAGTCGCCGAGCTTGACTCCATGGGTCGATGAGAGAAAGACGTTCAAGCTCTTGACGTCGCGGTGCACCTTGCCGAGACCGTGGATCACTTGAAGGGCATTCGCGATCGCCCACGCCACTTGCATTGTCGTGATCTCCGTGATCACCGGCTCACCCTTGCGCTTCGTGCACAGGTACTGGAAGAGGTCCCCTTGGTCCATGAGCTCGAGCACCATCTGTGGGTGGTTCGAAGCATAATCGACCGTCGCCAACAGCGGCACGACGTGCGGCGACCGACACCTACTCACTGGTTTAGCGTAGGACTCGGCATCAAAGCGTACAGTGTGGTGTTGTCGATCTCTTCTCGCATCGGAATGGCTTCCCGCACCGACCCGTACAAGGGCTTCTTGATTGCAACTGCACGGTCATTGTACGACGCACGGACGACAGCACCACCGCCGCCCTTGCCCAACGACTCGAACGACGTGATGTCGGCGGCCGATATCTAAATGCTACGTGTGAGAAGCTGCCACCGCGCGACAAGCTACGTCGAGCGCGGCCGTATGCACTTGGTCGTTGAGGTACGACGCGATGCTTTGGTGTCGACGTTGGGCGGCGGTTGCCAATATGGTCAAATCTTGTCCGTTCTAGTACGAGATAGGATAAGGTTACTCTGCCGACACGACTATGGTGGGGTACTCGCAACGGCAGTGTCGCGTCGGCGCCCGCTTCGACAAGCAGTTGCACAAGGTGGTCACGCTCCGCGAGGACGGCGCACGCTAGCGCCGTACGGCCGATCTAGCGTGCAAATGCTATCTGCGTAAAGTTGATAGAAGCAGAACGCACCGCGTCGGTCTGGTCGATCTCAAGCGTCGAGGACGACAACAACATCTGCAGCATGTCGGAGCTGTGGGCCTCCAGTGCGACGGCGGCGTGGAGCACCGACGAGCCATCCTACACCGTTTGTCAAATGTGATTTGCCATCGGATCATGCACGGACGGGCAAATGAATGGACGCGTCTGCGCCGACAGTGACTAGCGCAGTCGCTGCGTCGAGTCGGCCTTCGTTGACGGCAATGGCCAGCGCCGTATATCCCTCCTGCGACATTGCATTGAGCTACAAGGGCGGACGTCGTGATGGAGTACCTTGTTGACGGCGTTGATCTGGAGGCCAGGAGTCGCGAGCAGCATACCGAGCACCAGTTGCGATCCTGCGGCGGCTGCATAGTGCAATGGCGACGCAGTCTACAGCCAAAAAGACTGTTAGCATCATCAGCCGCCATGGTGCACGCACCTCGGCGACAATGGCCAGTTCGGACCCATGCGAGTGGAGAAGGTCCATCACAATCTGTGGCTTGTCCTTGGCCACCGCGGTCGCCAGTGCCTTTTGACGCATCTGCAACCGATATCAAGCATGCTGTTGGGCAGAGAAGCACGACGTACCTCGGTGCCAAGAGCCTTTGGTAGACCCATGGATGGTAGACTATGGGCTTGAAGAACGTCGCGGAGGCAAGCGACATGGCCCGCTTCGGCTACCACTGGCACCAGTGCTTGCAACAGCTTCGTGTCCTGCGCGTTGATTGCGCTTTGCAAAATCGCCATCTATGCCATCGGTGGGAGGCAACGCGCATCGCAGATCGCTACGCTACCAACGTCTCGGGGTCCTACTCCAGAGTCGTTCAAAGTTTATCGACCGAAAAATAGTCGGCACGCACCTTGGGGGCGGTACCCAAGTCGGCGCCTGCGCCCACAAAATTCCGCACCGCATAAAAGTTGTTGGCTTTGGCCGCCACGTACAACGGCGTCTCTCCCATCTATACGAGCAGGTACCAATACCGCCACCGTGTCGAGTGGAGTTTCACCGCATTGTGTGCCTCCAGCGCATCGCTGCAGAGTACGACGAGTCGTTGCATCGCCCAGTAACCACCCTGTGCTGCAGCGTGCAGCACCGTCGACCCGTCCTACAAGGAGCGTGCGATGCCGTTGGTAGAGGCCCTGGACTACAGACCTTGGTTATGGATCGACAGCTGGCGTTGGCGGAGAGCAGGCGCGTGACGCAATGTCCATGGCCTTGATGGCTACCCCGAGCAGCCAAATAGAGCGGCGACTCGCCAGCCTACGTCAATCAAAAACCGTGGTTACCACGAACGTGGGCACACGCCGCGTACACGGTTGGCCATGTCGACGCACGCCTCGTCAAAGTCCAGGAGCGTGGCGATGGTGTCAACATTCCCCCGGGCAGCCGCGACGTGCAGGGGCCGATTCCCATGCTATATCAAAACTTAGGGAGAGTGGATTTGCCAGCAAGAAAACGTACGTGGTCTTGGCAGTAGCGGAGCGACGCGTCCGTCTTGAGGAGCAAACCAACGATCTGGGTGTGGTTGCAAGCGGCTGCGATGTGCAGCGCGGTTGCTCGGTGGACGCTGACGACATCCTTTGTGGCAACAGCACATAGCAGATCAGCAGTGCCAAGCACATGCGTTTGAAGAAGCGCCTGTCGTAGGCCCTGCGCCGGGTCAAAATCGGCTTGTGACACCTTGTGTACCTCGCTGAGAAGGTCGACGCGGGCGCCTGTATAGAGCAGCGCGAGGATCACATCGACGTTGTCCGTCACGACAGCACGTGCCAGGGCCGTGTCCCCCGTCTTATCAAAACGAATTGTGAGAGACACCAAACGCGTGTCAATGGACGTACCTTGTCCGTATCATCCACACGGAGCTCTCGGTTTTCAACTATAACGTGGCGCAGCGACGGCATTTCCAATACACGGTGCAGCAAGGGCGTCCCATCCTACAAGCGCCCATACGCAAGGTCCATAGGAGCTTCCACAGAGCGAGGTGCACCGTGTCGCAGAGGTTGGGGTCGATAACGCGTTTTTTGACGAGGGTCAATGCGGCTGCGATGTTCTTTGTGCGGAGCGCCTTCCAGAGCTACGACAACGAAATCGTCCGGTAGCGCGTCATAGTCGACGTCTACCGCTGCTTCGTAGTCGTGTTTACGGGGGTAGTCGCGCAAGAGCTCGGCTGCGTCCAACGACCCCGTTTTCTCAGCTCGCATGCGCGGTGTACGCCCCTTCTACGATGTCGAGAAGCGATCGTAAAGGGCGCTAGGGCTGGATGCGTGTACCTTGTCTTGCACGTCAAGAGTCGCTCCGTTGTCCAGGAGGAGTCGCACGATCTCCGGCTGATGGTTCCGGGCTGCGTTGTACAGTGGTGTCTCCCCTTTCTATTCCATATACTCCGTCCTGAACATGCGACATCCCCCGACGATAAAGCGTCCGAGTACCTTGGTCTGCGCGTCGACCTTGGCGCCTTTTTCAAGCAAGAGGCGGACGATCGCCATATACCCAAACAGAGCAGACTGGTGCAACGGTGTCGACCCATCCTATTTCAAACACCTCAAGTTCCGTGGACGTTAAGAAGCGGCGACCCAAATTACCTTGGCCATTGTATCAAAGTCAGCGCCGTACTCGAGCAGGAGACGGACGACGTCCGACTGCCAACGGTTCGCAGCTGCGCGCAACGGTGTAGCACCATTCCACGATTCCCGCGCTTCGATTTTGGCGCCTTTTTCAAGCAAAAAGCGGACGATCGCCACATGACCGTTCGCAGCTGCATAATGCAATGGCGTTTGGCTATCCTACATAGAAATGTCATTTCAACTAATCAATCGCAGCAATGACGAACCTCGAACGTGCACTCAATGTTGACGCCGTCGTCTAAGAGCGCTTGGACGGTGGCCACGTTGCCATCCTTGGCAGCACAACACAGCGCCGTCTATGGTTACATGGCACCGCTCATGAGCAACGACGTCGTTGGACGCAGCAACGACGACGGTACCTCTTCCGGCCGCTGTCTCCACAGCCACATTTTCACAATGGGTCAATCTCTGTTGTTGGATTGGCCATGCATCGACCAATCATCGGCGCCCACGACCACAACCCGACGACGGTGACGTGGGTGTCTCTTGATTGCCTTAAGTGGATTGGCTAAAATTCCACCAATCCACAATAATGGTGCTTGCGATTGGTCAATGCTGCACATCTGCGTGTGTTTAGCTGTTTTATTTCGTGTCGACTGTCCGTACTAAACAAACGCAAGTTGACTTGATACATGCACTCCGGATCGGGCATGATATTTTCGAGCGGACCAAGGCTTCCAAAATATGTTCTTATCTTTTGCAAAAAGTGTAAAGTTGGTGAGGTTGGGAAGGCCATTGCGTTCAGCAAACTGCAGCGGCGTCGTGCTTAACTGGGTGACAGTAACTAGACTGCTAGAAGACGCCTCTTACATGTGACGAAATGCATTGGACGCGTCGATCGCGCCCTTGAGCGCATCAAGCCACTCCATTTTCCCTTCTTCAGACGTACACGACATGGTTTTTTTGCGGTCGTCGTCCTTCACTTCGAAAGAGTACTCGCCCATGCGCTTGGCCGACGTCGACGGCAGCGACCGTGCAGCGGCCAGTTTTCAACTTCATCATACGCAGCAACGTCTTGTCGTCGGCATCCGAGAAGATCCCGAGCGCAGTGCCTGCAAGCACGACATTGCGCTTCGTTCAGTTCTTGAACATCACGCCGCCTTGCATGTACATCGAGCCGTCCTTGACGACCGTCGATTGATTTTCTTGGGTGATCTCGGTCATCAATGTTCACCCGCCGGATCTGCCTCCTTGGTCGGCGCGATACGCAAGTTCTTTTTGACGACGAACATGTTGCCCACCTTCTCGAGTTTGCGATAAAGTCGATCGATCTCGAAAGCTGCTCCGTGTTGACATGAAAAGCATTTTGGTGCCGATCCCACAAGTTGCTCGAACCCCGCACCTCCTGTATGTGAAGCAGGAATCCACCGACAGGACAAAGAGTGGTCGACTACGTGCCATCTGCATCTTGACAATAGAAAACCAAGACATATATGATAAGAGCGATACCACTCTAGATACGTTTTGAACGTTGTGTGGGTTGAGCAATGCGTGAACAAGGGTATAATGTAATGATGTTGTTTGTATACACTTACGGCTGCACTTGTCTTTTGTTGGCGAGCTCGATGCGCTTGAGAAGGATGGCGACCTTGGTGGCGTCGGCGGGGAACACTTCGTCGCACCTGTCGCACTTGGCCCGTGTCATCGGGTGGCCGATGGAGCATGACTCGCAAGTGATTTTGACGTCAATGATGAGACCTCGCTGGGCCGCAATGCTTAAGCGCCGCAAGAGCACTTGAAGCTTGCGCGACGCAGGTGGCAGCGGGGCATTGCAATGTGTGCAACAGACAACGTCTCGGAGGCTATTGGTCGTGTTGCACTCCTGACAGACCAGCGTCGTTTCCACGAGCATTTCGGTGCTCCAGCCCGAGTACGACTAGCACTGCATATGAGTACACGTTTTCCAATCTCCGTGCATACCTTGGTGTTGCCAAACACCGATGCCCCATTTGACGGCGTTGGAGGCAGCCCTGGTTGCTCATGAAACGCCACGGGTAATGGTAGCATTGGCGGTGGGAGCGCGCCCACGCTCTGCGCCGCGGACGTGCGGCGGGGCTGTGTGGACATGGGGGCTTGGGCCAATTGCAGCGACGACATATCAACGCCCACGATTTCCGATTGCAGATGACCTAGTGGTGGCGCCTACGTTGCGCCGATCGACTCTTTAGTTCAGAACATCAACCCCGTCGACGTACCCGGGCACTTTGGAGGGTCGAGGCACGAACGCGCGTACGGGCCACAGGTGCCACCATACAGTTGGCCATCGAGTCGGCTTTGTACGCCCGGTCGCGTGGCTGGTCCATTTGCCGTTGCAGACGATGAACAACCTCTTGCGCTGTGGGGCGCGCTTTGGGGTCGAACGACAGACATGCAGTCGCGAGGTCCTTGAGCCACGGCGCACAGGTGGGCGTGAAGTGCGGGCGAAGTGAGCCTTCGCTGAGTTTGCGCATGATTTCGAGCGACAGGTCCTCGGATGCAAATGGGAGCTTGAGCGTGTCGAGCTCGGTCAAGAGGGCTCCAAAGGCATACATGTCGGCCGCCGAGTCGTACTGTTTGTGTCTATCCAAGAGCTCGGGGGCCATCCAGCGCAGCGTCCCAATGCCCGTCGTCATATTTGACTCGTACTCGCGGGCAATCCCAAGGTCGGCGAGCTTGATGTAATTCTGAGAGCAGAGGAGGACGTTCGGGCTCTTGATGTCGCGGTGGAGGAGGCCGTTGTGGTGCAGATCGGCGAGCGCATTCGCAACGACCCATGCAACCTGCAACGACGTGACGTCTATCGCAGTCGAATGGCCGAGTCGCTTGTGAACGAGGTAGCTGCGCAAATCGCCTGCGTCCATGTACTCGAGGATCAGCTTGGGATTTGGCGACTTGGTGTACGCGAGAAGGCCAAGCACGTACGGCGACGGGCACCTACATCGACAGCGCGTCAACGCGGGTGGAAAGCTACTTGGGCACATACAGTTGCATGGTCTCGATCTCTCTTTCAAGGCCCGGAACGTCGGTGGGGTTTTTGGGAGACTTGACAGCCACCGTGCGACCCTTGTACGTGCCTTTGTACACATTGCCATGGGCACCCCCTCCGAGCAGGGTCGTGACATCCATGACGACGCCGTGCGCGGGAAGCGGGGTCGCCATGTCGAGATCCTTGCGAGATGAGCGCGCCACCGTGCAAACCACGGGTGTCAAGGTGCGCACCGCAGCGTGGAGAAGGCTCGCCAGGCGTCGGCGGCCCAATTGAATTGCGAGTACGAGTGGCGTCCAGCCGGCCTACAGCAACATTGTCGTCGTCGGTAGCACCTCTCACACATCAAGTTGTACAGCGTTGCGAACGTCGAATCGGACGTCTCGTTTCTGGGAGAGGACCGACAAGATCTTATGGTCGCCGCCGATGACAGCGAGATGCAAAAGCGAGTCACCGGCCTAGTACCATCGATCGCTCTTTGCACCACGGCAGGCATGTCCTACCTCGTTTGTGGCGTTCGGGTCGCCCCCGTCCGCCAAGAGCATGAGCACTCTTTCATACGTTTGCTTCTGAACAGCCTCGACGAGCTTCTACACCCCAAGTCCGTTTACGATGCACCTCGTCAGAGTGTACCAAGTTGGACTCTGGCTCCTTGCGGCGATTGACGGGACTCTATCGAAATAGCAAAAAAGGCGTCCAACCATGGCTGTTGCTCGGGCGAAAATGTACCGGCAACGACCGAGTCGTTAGATGTGTAGGGGCACTGACGTCCGAGTGACGGCGAGCGCTGACGTCCGAGTGACGATAAGCACTGACGTCCGAGTGACGGCGAGCGGGTGCGCTTTGGCGTTCAGCGGCCTCCAAGTGCCGCGCCATCTACACAGCTCTCGCATTCACCCTCTTGGTCGGCGCCACGCACCTGCTCGTCGAACGCTGTCTCTGCATGTTTCAAAATGGCACGGACGCCTGGGTTACTGGTCGTCATTGACGGCGTCATGCCCGTCTGTGACATACGATGTCTCTCGACACAATGGCACGCGTTGCGATACCTCTGTCATCGCAAAGACGTTGGCTTCGGCGCGCACGAGGCAACTCACGGCGTCTTTATGGTCCAAGAGGACCGCGAGGTGCAGCGGCGTTTGGCCCATCTACGAGCCAATGCATCGTATATAGAGTAAATAAGATGCCAAGTTACCGAATCACGCGCGTTGATATCGCTCGAGAAGGAAAGAGCGAGGTCGAGTAGACTCGTGTTACAACTTTGGACCGCTGCGTGCAGCAGCGTTGAGCCATCCTACAACGAATGATGATGCGACAACGAGGTTTGGCATACCTTCGTCACGCAATGTATTTGCGCATTGGCCGCCACGAGCTGGCCGACGACGTGTGCATGGCCGCCGGCGATAGCGACAAAGAGCGGCGTTGCACCCGCCTACACCATAGCAACGCTGTCGGCCGACGCCGCGTCAGGTGGGAAACGTACATGATTGGTCGCGTCGAGGTAGTCGCCGAAATTATGAGGCTGCAGCAGCTTTGTCACGGTGGTCGTGTGGCCCTTGGCTGCCGCTAGATGCAGTGCCGTCTCGCCAGTCTACGTCGCCATCAAGATTTTTGCAAATAGAAAATACGGTACCTCGTTGGCAAACGTAGGGTGGACGCCAAGACCGAGTAGTTGAGTGACGATGGTATCGTCATTGGCCGAGGCGGCGCGGAGCAGCGCCGTCCCAAAGATGGGCGTCGTCGAAAGCAGACTCTATAGATGGATTTGTCGTCGCTCACACCGACCTAAACGCCCACCGTGCTCGCGAAATCGATACGTGTGCCTGCTTGGTACAGTTCGAGTGCCACCTCAACGTTGGACAGCGCAATGGCAAGTGTGAGTGCAGACCGTCCACCCTACGCCCACATATGTAGCGCACATAGCAGGAAGAGGCGTATGGACCTTGTCTCTCGCGTTCACGTCGAGTTTTGGCTTGCGGAGCATCGTTCGAAGCAGCCACAGATTTTGTGTCTCGACAATCAAATGCAGCAAGGGTGTCCTGTCCTAATATCCATCGACATGGGAGGAGCTCGTGCTATGTAAGCAACGAGGTACGGTGTCGCGTAGGTTGGCGTCGATCATATCTTGATGGAGGAGTGTCGCTGCATCCGGGTACTTTTTGTCGCGCAGCGCTTTCACGAGCTACGATGCATTCTGCGTGACTGCAAGCGCGTGGTCGTGAGACTACCGTGGCTTCGTAGCCTCGTATGGACCGGTACTCTTCCAGAAGAAGTGTCACTTGATGGTGGCCCTTCTTCTCGGCGAATAAGAACGGCGTTTGGCCAAACTAGATCCATGCACAATGTCGTCACAATAGTAGCACATCGCATTCGGAAGCGATTTTGTTCCTGGACGTACGTAGTCCTCGACGTCGACGTTGGCGCCTTTCTCCAAGAGGAGGCGGACGACCGACACATGATTCAAGAAGACGGCTAAGATCAGAGGGGTGTTGCCATCCTAATGCAACGATTTCAATGTTGACGAACGAGCCAAACCATTGCACCTCGTCCTTCGCTTCAATGTCGGCGCCGTTGGTGAGGAGGAAGCCAACGACGGCCAATTCATCGTTGAACGTCGCCTTGTGCAACGCGGTCGATCCCTATGTCAACAAAATTGTGATCATATCGACGCGCCACGCGCGGTTGTACGCCGTTGGGTGTGCCGTTGATGTTGACACCGTCATGCAATAGCAAGGCGACGTCGTTCAGATCACCACGTTGCGCCGCTGCGTGCAGTGCCAGCTATGGACGCTCGTTATCACCGTTGGAGGCGTTGTGCAACCTCTTTGGCGCGCTGCGATGGCATCATGGCTCCACACGGCCACTTGAAAAATGGTCCACTTCCGTCAACCATGGATTGCCTCAAATTGATTGGCCAATCGATCACCCAATCGTGTATCCGGAAGATATGCATCATCTTCGGATGGCGGTGGGAGGCTTGTACAGTAAGGTACGGCACCGTCACAGCGGCTAAACGCCTTCGTTCCTTCCCGTAAAAGGTCGGTCCTTCAAGGCCTACGGCTGCTGCGCTGTGCCACACACGTCAGCAAAGTTCAAGTTGCAGTCTCAAGCCAGGTTCCATACCCACCTGGAGCCAATGCGAGGTCGCCATTGAGATGAAGTGTGTTGTGTCGTCTCAATGGCGAGCACGACGCTTGAACTTTTCAACGTTGTACGGTGCATGTGTTCTGTACGAATGCAAAGTCCGTCAAGCCGAGCACAAAGACTTGTCGATTCATGCGTGCTTGCCATTGTACGCGTCTGCTTGTGGCGTCGTTGAGGTGGACCGGATGCTGCCACCTGCAACATCCGGCGTTCGTTCCGGTCTCAACGCTCCGGTGATAGATGATAGTGGATTTGGACTTCGTTTTCTATAGTTGAGTCAAGTGTTCGTTGTATGCGAAATTGAAGTTCGAAGGCGATCGCGACAACAATCCCGTGCAACATTGCACGGGATTGTTGCATTGCACAATACAGTACGCGGTCCACTCGAATTCCCTGCGGTAAGCAGCTATCATGTTTGCAGATAGTCATTGGCTGGTCTCTCCAAGCAGGTGCATCGATGGTGCTACGTGGTACCGGGTAGCAGCAACGTGGCCACTGCCTCGGTCATGTAGCAACCATGATCGGGGTCTTGAAAGCACGTTTCCTTGCGGCATTGGTGCTCGAACCATCGGACTGTCATATGTACAATATTGTATATATCGTCTAGCTGAGACTTGTAGCCGCAGTTTGATTTGGATGGATGAGGAGGGAAACGACGCCAACGCGACCCACGACTTGGCGTCGTTGGATCGATCGGTAGGGGCTCGTCAGGACCGTCGATTGACCAAGAAACCGATGATACAAATGGGCTTGGCAGATCGGACCCTTCCAGTACGCCACATGTTGAAGTTGAATCCTGGTTGTCGCAAAACGCAAGACTCAACGGTACAGAAGCGCGTGTCTATCGAGGCCATGGTCCACGTCGCTCGTTTGTTCGATCATGGCTGTGTGGGGTCAACAGCTTCCAATAGCTCGTCCCTGTACTTGGTCCTTCGAGAGTGAGTGGCCAAGTGAGATTGGCACCGGATCGTAAGCCAACGACAGTGTATTGAGACCTAGTACGCAGAGTAATGGAATGGTTGGGCTTGATTTGGATCGGGCGGATCCGGGAAACTAGAATCGTGCCACAGCCGCAAAGGATGTGCACACCACAGCCTCCAACCCATTTACCCGTGTTTATTACGTAATATTCGGTGTGAGAGCCCTCCCGATGCAATCGCTACATGGGGTGCCAGCCGCGGTTCAAACCCGGCATCGCCGATCGCTTCAGGCGCTCGCTTCTTGGCACCTTGTGCGTATCGCAGTACACTTCGTACTCGCCGGCAAGTCGACCAACGTCATCCAACGCCGCGTCGTCGGCCCGCAGCACTTCTTCGAAAACGAACCGGCGCAGCGGCACTGTCATCACCCACGTAGTTTCTTGCAGGTCGTGCCGGCAAAACCGCATCAGCCGCGACAATCGTTGATCGCGGCAGCGGGTGCAAAACTTGAAGACGTCCTGGGGACACGCCGCGCACGCGACGGTACCCCCAATGATGGGCAAGTAGCACACCATGCAGCTCTCAAGCCACGTCTCGTGCTCCGTGTCGGGTGTCGACTCGACGCACGCGCGGGCAAGTGCCACGCCATCATGAGACCCAGGTGTAATGTGGACCGCAAAGGCATAGAGTGCCCACGCACTAAACTTCTCTTGAAAGGCGCTGCGATAGGACGCAAGCGCTTGGTCGAGTTGGGCTTGCATCGCATACACAATGCCCAAGTTGTTGTAGACTAGACCAAGAGGTGTAGCGATACACTTAGACCATGCAGATTGTCGTACCGACAAAAAGGGCGTAGCGCAAGTGCGGGCACGCGTCGACGAGCGTCTTCAATGACAGCAGCTGCGTCATCGCCGAAGGGACGTCGCCCGCCATGATGGTCAATGACGTCATGTTGAATCGGTTCTCAAACGTGTCTCGGTGCGTCGCGCCAAGCGTCCGCTCGCGCGTCACGGTAATACGCTCGGCGAGTGGAACACCCTGCGCAGCGTCGCCCATTTGTAAGTGCACAGCAACGAGTCGCCCGAATGTCAGCATCGTCGCTGGATGGTCCCGGCCCAAGAGCGTCTCTTCGATCGTGGCTGCCTTGCGCCGCGAACCGCGGACGACAGGGATGAAGGTACGCGCAACCGACCAGCGACATGGTCTTGGCCGTGCGAGCGTCTGACAGGCCGTGCTGCGACCGTCGCCATTCAAAATCCTCGAGAGCCAAATGCAGCACGTCAGCAAACGCAGGTTGCTCGATGAGCGAGATGACGAGGTGGGTGCGCGCGGCCAATGTTGTTGCATGCGTCGCACGGAGATGCTCAGAGGCCATGGCGAGCGTCGATCGAAACCGAGGCTCCCACTCGGTGCGGGGCTTGCGCTGGTGCGCGATGGCCAATGCGACCAGCGATCCAAGCGATAACGTGTCGGCGTCGACCGGTCCGTTGGTCTCCAAGAACAAGCGCAAAGCCTCCTGGAAGCAGCGCTCGCTCTCGGCAAACTCGAGCAAGCTGTCGTGGATGTACCCGAGCTGCTGCCATCGCTTGGCTCTCGCAAGAGCCGATGATGATGAGACAGCGATTGATGCTTCGAGCGCCGACTTGATCCAGCTGGTCAAGGTTGTAAAGATGAGCCGGTCGACAGCAATGAACGACGTCTCGGCGCGAATCAACGCGAAGATGCCGTCGCGGTCACTTGGCACCGACGTCTCCGACTCTGCACTCTTGATCGTCGCCAGCATTTTGTGAAAAGCTCCGTGTTGGCCAATGTCGTCGAGAAACGCGGCTTCTTGATCATGAGCAAGTGCAATCTCAAAGCGCGCGCCCATGGTCACCGCGACGTAGACCTCAAACACGCACCAGCTTCGACGAAGCACGATCGGGTCGTTCCACGGGTGCATGATCATGACCACGTTGCCGATGGCTGCGAGACCGTTCTTGAACGTTGACGACCAGTACTCGAACGGGTACGAGCTCGCGAGGTGCTGGTTGTTGTTGAAGACGCAAAACCAAAGGACCGCGTCGTCACTAAGATCTCGGTCGGCGAAGAAGCGCTCGAGGCTGTCGACCGTCTCCAAGAAGAGGTACTGCCAAGCATGGCTAACATACCAGTTGGCTGGCGCGACGTAAGCGGCGGTCGACGGGTCGTTGGCGACGTGGTCGACGAGTGAAAGCTGCGAGGGTTTGGTCAGGGGTACGACAAACTCAAAGCAAACTTGGGCCGTCGACTTGCCAGCAAACTCAGCTTGACCGCCATGCTCGTTGATAAAGTGGCACAGGTACGAGAGGTGGAGACCCCGCTTCGTCGTTGGCGGTGTCATGGTGCTGGAGACTTGAAGAATGGCGTCCGAGTGCTGACACTGGAGCGAGCCTCCCTCGACAATATGTCAAGTGATATGCTGCACCGTGCTCGCGTTGTGGTCAATCCAACTTGCTCCCAGATCTGGCACAGGGATCGACCACTGGTCAAGAAACTTGTTTCCTACTCTCGTAGCATGGAGTTATGCTCCTTGCTACTAAGCATGGTGTACCAATAAATCCATGATGCCGCCATCACGGAGCTGTTTAGGGTCCGTACAAAACGTGGTCGCGACACGGTGTTTGTGTACACAACGTCATGATAATCCGGTCGTGGTGTCAACGTACTCGTGATGCCACCTTGTGGTAGCGTCATAGCCAACTTGGGTGATTTTAGCATTTTATAATATAGTGGCGTCGCATTTCACCGATAGCACGCAACTTGAATTGGACGCCATATTTCGACCAATCACAGGCCTTGATTTGATTCGCAAGACCCATGATGACTTGTTGCCGAGAAAATCGCCGACGGTGGACCAACCACGAAGACTGTCCATCAATGATTGCAGTCAAGCGTAGCAGTAGCATTGACGCGAGTCGCGTCATTGAAAGCGCCATGCAATGTACACCAAATACGGTGCAGCGTAGTACCTTCTTAGAGCGCGTGCCAACTGCTGCACGCCGTTGCCTCGTCGCCCATGTTCTGGTGCCAAGTTATGTGGTGGCATTTGTCTATTGACGTTCAACATTTCCATTTCAATTTCAATTTCACGACCCCTATCAATCGTCCACGCAGCACCGTTCATGCTACGTATCTCATTTACGCCGAGTCACGCTTGTTTGGCGACTGCTGGAGTTGGCAGGACAACCCGAGCGACGACGACCAGCATATACATGCAG